GGAATATTGGAGCTTCAGGGTAGTACACGGTGCCCCCTCGTACGCAGAGAGGAGGGTACAGTATCAGGTCGGCCTCCCCGTACATTGAAGAGTCGACCCAACTCGCGATGCCGATCCGGAGGCGCCCTGTCGTTCGTGCCCAGGTACCGCGCTGAATAAAGCCGCTCGCCCAGTCTGGCAGAAATACCCCAAAACCGCAACCGGACGAGGGTTCCCACCTGGCAAGGGCTCTAGCAAGGCCTCGATCCCCGCGCCATCCTGGAACTCGAGTGAAGCCCAGGAACCTGGACTTTCCCAATAGAAAGGCAGCCCTAGACTCTCCAAATCCTCTTCTCTCGCCTTTTTGGTCTCCTCTCTATAGGGAGCACTTTCTCCCGACATCAGGCCAGGCGGTCTCTCCAGTGCTGACGCCTCGGGAGGTCCAAATCCTCGTGGGATAACCTCCTGTGACTCAAAGCCTTTTCGGGCTTCCGAGTCACCTGCTGGTGCTTGCGGCCGCTGCGGTGCCGCTTATCCTTCTTCTTCTTTTTATTTTTCTTGGCAGATCCAGCCCTCACGTCCGCCACCTCAAGCTCACGTTTCCTGGCAGCCTCACGCAAGACCAGGTCAGGGGCGCGGACCACAGGCTCAGGAGGTGGAGCAGAGCTTTCGCAGTTCTGGAGCTGCTTCTTCCGCCTTCACCCCCTTCAGAGAAGAACTCGTAGGTATACTCGTCCTCGTCCAAAGCTGGAGCCCCCTCACGTCCTCCGCCAACAGCCTCGACGACGGGGGCAACCACTGGCGCCGCCGAATCGGGGGTTGTGCCCACCGCCTCCTCGGCTTGTCGTCCCTCCCCTCCAGCCGGCCCAGCAGGACCAGCACGGACAGGGGGAACAACAGCCGGGGGGCTCCTAGCCGCACCCGATTCAAATGCAAGCGTGTACCGCGCCTGCTCGGTCAAAAGGCCCGGGCCCAGCTCACCAAGGCGTTTAACGTGCCGGGTTGCGCTGAGCAAAATCTCCTCCGCCAACTCACGAGCCGGTTGGCACGGCCACCTCCTGCCCAGCTCCAACTGGGCAACCTCAAGTGCCCTGCAACTCAGGCACCAAGTGTGCCCAGGGCTCCGTACTCCCTGGCGACACTTATTGCATGCCATAAGCTTGAGCTCAAATTGGCTGCGCCTTCACATACAAAAAGCTTCTCGACACTCACACTAACATTCGTCACGAATATCAGTGGCCGCAAAGCCGTCAAGGTTTCAAGCTGCCCCTGCGAGGCTGCTGAGCTATGCACAGCGGATGAAAGCAACCCTCAAAGCAATGGTGCCGAAGAGACTCCCCGGATCTGCTGGACTGCTGTCTTTGTGAGAATGACTGGTGTGTTCGAGCTTTTTCTAGTGGGGCGTGCACAATTTTTTCCAGATACCTCGCATCAAACTGGATCCTGAAGGTTGACATGGCGCATGTGCATCAGGTAGGCCATGGCGGGCCACGTCTGCATGCTCATGCACACTGCTGCGCACGAGATCCATTTGCTCATGTACGATGTGTGTACGTGGTCGAATTGTTGTGGCACAAGCAGGTCTTCTTGGCGCGAAGGGGTTCAACAATCTAAGCTCATGGCTGGATGATGCAGCTGCATGGGAGTCATCTTCGGAATGAGCATCCTCATCCTTACAGTGGCATGCTCTGGCAAATCACTATCAACGCCAAAGCTGGAAAGACAGCAGAACGCTTGCATCGAGCTTTGACAAGTTGTGACAAGCACCGCAGTCTGAATAGCGGCTGACGCTGTGCATTTCGCCAACTGCAAAGGGATGTACTCTAGCCTCACATCCTCGCAAGGTTAGCGTTAGTCTGAGAGTCAGGCGTCCGCCTCCAATGACACAACGCTCCGAAGGCTTCTCATCTGCAGGGCCAGCTTCCAAACTTTCGATTTGCAGCTCTCCCAAAGCACAGAACAGCCTTGCGAGCAGCTGCAGTTTGCTTGTCTGTTGCAGCCTGCACTGATGGGATTGGCACGAAGGTGTGGACATAACCGCCAAAGGACCAGGCACTGCCAGTGCCTTGATTTCAGCCGCCTTCGCAAGCCTTGCAGTCTTGCATGTCTTCTTCCATCTTGCGTACCTTGCTTGACACACGAGGCACTGCCCTTTCCGATAAGATCAGCCTTCTGAGGTGCAAGCGCGGCGACGACGCGAATGAAGGCTCGGTAGGTGGACCGGTGGAGGTCTGACAGCAAGTCCTGCATTTCAACCTCAGGAGACGCCCTCGTGCATGCTGCTCATGCTGGGTGTACTTGTCCAAGGTGCCATGAGGACTTCATTCAGAATGGCCAACGCCTTGTACCAACAAGGGAATGCAACAGATTCGAGGGCATGCCATCGGATAGCCGCACCTCGCTCAAGGGAGATTCGACCACTTCTGCCTGCCCGAAGGATTCTCCTGCCGTGATTGTTCCAGAGCCGCTGGTGCAGTACAGTGCTGTGATTGTGCGCTTTCAGATCCACTGATGGCATCCCCGGACTTTCGAATAATCTCAAGAAGCGCGTACGCGTGGAGATTTACGCGGTGGGCCATGTACCGTTATGGCACCGTATAACCTTTGTTATCCTTTGTTGTTCGCTGCGTGGGGAACCAGGTACCACATTCAGAATTCAGAACCTCCTTCGCGGTCGCCAAAGCCGATCCCCAAGAATGGCCTGAGCTGGCTTTCTGGGGCTGCGTATGCGGTGGTAGTACTGCCACGAGTGGGCAGGTAGTGGATGGCACTTGGGCCGCAGTACTAGTAGCAGCAAAGGAACAACCTGTAGAAATGAGAGGAGGAGTATGCGTGAGAATTTGGTGACAAAGTTAAGTCGGCAAAGCTGCCATGCAGAGGCAGGGGCAGCTTGCCTGCTGCGTGTCGGACAAGTCGCTGTATGTCCGGCAGAGCGGCGGCTTCCCTTGCAACAGGTGGTGTCTGCACATGGCAGAGAGACTTCCAATCCAAACAATCAAACCCAAACTTGTGGACTGAGCAATGGATTGGGATCTTATAGGGTTGGTTCAATCTTGGGAATTGCTCAGCGGGCGATGGATTACGGCGAGCTGGGCTTCAAACGCGCAACTCCAACCTTCGTTGCTCATTTGACCTCACCCAGTTAAAACCACAGTGTCGCCTCAGGACTTCAACTTCCTTCTGGAAGCGTTATCCGATGAAGCACCACGATTCAAACGGAGGGGGCCCTCTATCTGGCTCCCCCCGTCGTGCGAGGCTGCTTTGCAGCTTGCGTTCAGCGAATGTGTTTCCAAAAATGAATGTTCATTTGCACAACCCGCATAGTACACTCCTATTTGCCAGCATCCTTCAGACCCATGCTCTATACATTCAGCTGGCCAAGCAGTTCATGCCGCAAGTGGACAGGGCAGAAGCACAACTAGAATCTCATGTGACCTGCTTCACGTGGCCACTGTTTTGCCAGAGCCGTGCCAGCAAATGCATCTGAAGGTCGCGAGAATTCAGCAGGAGGAGCTCCGAGTCCTGCCTGGTTCGCTTCTGTAGCTTTGGTGTGTTCTGCCATCCCATGGGTTTGCTCACGTATCCGTAGCGGAGGCGCTCGGCCGTTTCCGCAGACAGCCTCGCCGTGATCCGCTGCAGGATGTCATCTGGCAGCCGCTCGAGATCCTCCAAGGAGGGAGAGGTTGAAAACAAACAAAAATGAACACGAACGCTGAACACGGTCATCGCGCTTTTAATCTCTGGGTCCTCGTCCCGGGAGGCCAGGACCTCGCAGGTCTCGGAGGCCACTCGCACAGTGACAGGCTGCTTCAGGGTGAAGCCCAAGCTCCCACACATGTCCCCGGTTCCAAGAACGGCAAGAAGCTCCCGGTCCCGGCTGAAGGAGCTGCCTTTTGCCTTCCCAGAACGAGTCATCTCCAGCTCACCGCTGACCACGATGAAGATCACCCTGGGCTCGTTGGCACCCTGTCTCCTTGACAGCAGCTGTGCAACTGGCAATACATGGCAATACCTTTATAGGAACCGCAAGCTAAAAACTGCATACAACTGCAACTTCTCAGATCAAACCGGCGTCAGCAGTGGCTTGCCCTTGGTGTGCTTCTGCTGATGGAAGCAACTTGCAGGGTGCCCGTAGGCGCCGGTGATGTCCTTAGGGTCTAGCTTGCCGAAGATCAGCAGCTCCAGAAATTCTTTCTTTTGCTTCTCCAGCTCCTCCACATACTGCTTCACCTGCGTGTTCTCAAACAATCATAAACTAAACGGCTCAGCTAGCATCTGCTCTAATTATGCTTGCTGCGCTGAGCTCTTTAACCCGGCTCCTGCATGCTTTCTATCTCGTCCCGTCTCGAGCAGTCTCTCCATCAGGCCATCAACCCTGCCACATCCCCTACAGCGTGCATCCTGGCTGTAAGGCATGTGAACGTGTCTAAAATCAAGTTGGCTTCTATCGTTTTGGTAACTCCGGCGGACCTCTTCGAAGCCAGTGGCAGAGACAAAGAGGAGCTCACACTCGTCCAAACACCGCGCAGCTGCCCGCCGTGGTTGTGAGTCGTCCATCAGGGCCAGTTCTCCAAACACCTTGGGTTCCAGAAGAGGCTTCGAGGCTTCTTGGATAAGAGCGATCGGGTAGGCCCTTCGAATTGGATTGGGGCAGCCTTTCAGGAGGCATCTTGCTGATTCATTCAGGATGCTTAAGACTGTCTACTTTGGTAGGCCCTGCTCAAGTACTTGCAATCTGCTGGAGGGAAGAGACTTGCATGGGAAAGAAGCAATCCGTACTTTAGAGGAAAGCCGCTTCGCCAGCACCGCTCTTCTTCACACAGCTGCCCAAATCAGACATCTTGCCTTACTTGCCCAGCAACTGTCAGGGCAAGGGATTAGGTTCGCACTCAGCACGAACACCTGCGGGCACTCACGTTAAACTGGCTCGAGTTGCTGCAGGTGCTGAAGCCCTCAAGAGTGAGGATGCGCCGCTGGGATTCAGCCGTCATGACAATCTCCTTCGCTGCCGTCACTGGCAGGCGCGGACTTTTGACGTTACCACCCACATAAAAGCCGACCTTACCGCTCACGATGACATAGCAGCCCTTGGCAGAGTCTCCCTGCCGGAAAAGTATTGTACCTGAGTCCAGGGTAAGGAACTCCGAGTAGCGCGGTAGGCTCTCCAAGACCACGGCATCCAGGCCCATGAAAAATCTCGAGTCCTTCAGGACCCGGACCATGCGTTCCTGGCTGAAATCTGGCTTGTTTGACGCCTTAGAATCCTTCTCAGCTTCTGCTTGTATGGGTGGCAAAGGAGTCATGGCCCGCCTGACCTGTGTGAGCCGCTTGACCATGCGGTCTTTGACCTTTGAGGATACGGCTTTTGAGTCGCTCGGGTCTTCGCTCTGCCAATGCTTCACAGAATCTTTCTGGACATCTGAGAACGAGTGGGCGAACTTTTTCTCCCCTTGTGGCCGGTTTGGCTGCTGCCGCGATAAAGACTGAGACGACAGGCGCTTCTTTGAACCTAATGTTGCCTGAGCACTTGTCAGCCTGGGAAAGCTCTGATCCAAGGACTTGCTTGTGAGCTCCTGCAAACGGCATTGGTAATAGGTACCAAAGGCATCTGCAGTGGCGCTGCTTGACATCTCTCCAGGTGCACTCAGTGCCCTTTAGCTCCTCGCAGACATGATGCTGGCCTCAAGCTGTACTGCATCAGACAGCTATCTGAACAAGCAATCTAATGCAAACACATATCTTGCTCTCTGTTGGCTACGTTTAGATCTAGATAATTGCTGCTTAGCGCTGGTCGACCCGAATAATCGCGCTGACGACCTAAATTTGGGGAAAGCTTTAATCCACTGCCACGCTTCCCCTGTTCTTCGACCTGCGCTGAGACAATTGAGCCATAACGCTCCATGAGTGCGGGCTTCCTCGCAGCTACGTATGCTTTTCTGCAACCGCCGTGTGTTGCAACTCTCGAAATCTGGTGCCCCTGGATGTTGGACAACGCTTGTGCAAGGAGGTCTTCTGAAAATCTTGCCACAACGCTTTGACCTAGCCCGGCCCCATTGAAGCAAGATTTTGGACTTGTCACTGATTGCGAATTTGGTAGGAAGGCGCAACATGGTTCTCTACCTGGCACTCACATGCTTTCGACTGACAGTTGGTGCACTCAGCTCTTGTATGCTTGCCTGATCTGGTTGCGGGACATGGCCCGTGTGTTCGGGACTTCCTTCACCAAATCCTCGGAGCCATCAGGAAACCGAGTCTGATGACAGCAAACCATGATGAAACCTCCTAGGCACGGACCCCCGCAAGCCGCATCATCTCTGACAGGTACCTGTCAAGCATTCAGTAGCATAGCACAGTGGAATTACCATTTTAGGACCCCCTTGCACGCACTTGGAGTCATCCGTTTTAGGATCCTTCCCCGAAGGCCTGAGCAGAAGATGCACGGTGAGGAAGAGGTCCTCCAGGTCCAGCCTCGTTTCAACTGACGCACAAAGAGTCCGCACCTGGCGTGTCGAAGCCAGAGGAGCAATTAGTAGACATAGTAGTCAATTATGCTGTTATGATCCTACCTGTAAAGACGTGTACTGGGCTCTACCACAACATCTTGATTTTGGCGTGCATTTGACGGTGGAACCATGCCAATATCTCTCGGGTTCGCGCCAACCGCCCGGCAGAGCCTTCAAAGCAGGCGCCGTGCAACCAATTCAGGCACCTACTGAACATGATTGAAAACCCCACAAAAACACCAGGCCTAACATGCAGATCGAACAGAACTTTGCCATCCAACCCAACGTGCTTGTAAACTGGCTCGTTGTCGTTGAGGCTAGCGCCTCTGCAAGTCCCTCACTCTCCGATGGATAGAAGAGCGGTTGAAACCTCAGGGACGGAGGCTGTGCAAAGTGCAAACCGAAAGAGCAAAAAGCTGCAACATGCATCAAACGCGATTGCCCGACATGTGCCAGCCGGAATGTCAACTTCTACAGCCGTACACTCATACTGAGGCAATTGCGTGAATTTCCACACCTTCACTCGCAAGCAGGCCACAAATAACTTGCCAGTCCAAAGCCCGGAGTCCAGAAGGGTGTTTGGCTCAACCCTTACTGTAAGTGTCAAGCCATCTCGCAAGAATAATGAACGAAATGCATACAACGTGCATGATGGGCACCTCTTGCAGTTCCCGTGCCAGCAGCAGCTGCACCTTATGCATGCAAGAACGCAGCACGCGCCCATATTACATTCGCCTTCTGCTGCTGCCCTGTCACAGCCCATCCTGCTATCACAAGCTTGGCTTCTAGCTCGGCGCAAGCCTTCGCACACCTTCCGCAGCAGGCTTGGGAGTAGCCTGTGAGCGAAAAATGAACGATTGACAAACAGTGCGGTGCTCCAACACACTCAGGCCGGCCTGCTTCGCCAAAGCGGGTCATGCTCAACTAGGCGGTTTACCTGCAAGATTGCAAGACTTGCGTGGATTTGATGGTTCACGTTATTCAGTCTGCGACGATTGAAGTAACAACAACTCAAGGGTACCGTTACCAAGGTGTTTGCCATACTCATCGAATGGGTCCTGGATCTTTGCTCTTGCAAACAACCCAACTGCGAAGCTTGCCTGGTCATACTTCTGAGCCTGGGCACGAATTGAGGACAATTGAGGTGAGCAGGAAGGTGGTGCTTCCATGAGCAGCGAGCAGTGTGCTGCTTATGATATGTCATCCTTGCAGAGCCTGATTGTGTGTGGTGCAGGCGAACAGCTGCCAAGACAGTGGAAACTTGCAACTATCATGACACTGGGGCTTCATGGGCTTAAAGTGACTAGCGATTACAAACGGGTGGAAATTTCCTGGCTGGGGCCGCAAATTTTTCATCCTGGAGCAAGACTGCTTTCTCAAGTCCATGCCCTGAAGCCAGCCGCAAAAATAATTCAACATGATCAGCTGCCAAATATTCAAAATCTGGTAGCCAAGGGCGCTGCCAATTCAGCCATCAACCGCTCGCCGCGATGTGACAGCTCGAGTAGCCGCACCCCATACTCCTCTAATCTCATTCGGCATACGTAGCCAGCATCTTGAATGGCTAGAGAAGGCTCTGGAAGATGGCGCTTCAGAGAAGGTGGGGCGCTGCTTGGTCCCAAGCTGCCAAGCGAAACTAGTGACAAAGGTGCATCGGCCTGCCTTCTCAGCAAAGGGCTTGTCCAGGACCTCATCAAACACGATGTCCTGCAAGCTGAGTCGTCGCGTGACCGGGTGGAGTGGTTGCCACAGGGAGCTTCAACAGGCAGCTTCCCAGAATTGGCAGATCCCACAATGTCACATAAATGCAGAAATTGTAACTGGGCAAGAAAGCTGGTGCGGTGATGTTGTCCTGGAGTGGGGCAATTCCTGGCCCGCGGGTGTCTGTGGCGTCCTCTTGGTTGTTGGGCAACCAGGAACGCGAGGCTTAGGGAGTCCAACTTATGCTCTTCGATATGAGGACAGGGATTCAAAGGCGCGTGGCTTGAAGCCACAGAAGTTTTTAAGGGTCAGGAAACTCCTGCTGCGGGGCTTGATTCAGATGTCTTCCGCGTTCGCTGACTCTCTGCTCAGCTCTTCAACTTGCAAATGGGGTTTGACACTCCAAGATTGACTCTGCATCGTGCCCAAGCCTCATCTGCAACAAAGGCCTCAGTGTCTCTGTAGCGACACTACATCTGATCCGTACATGTCGGCCTCACGGGATCAGTGAGGACTCAACTGCGGATGCATGCTGGGTTTCTGACAGAATCATGGGCACCGGCTTTCAAAGATCCTGTCGCAGGGGATTGAACGTCTGGAGATCTGCAAGCAAGAATGTGCTTCTCCTTGTCAGCTTAGCTCTTGTGGGGTGTGCAACACAGCTCCTAAAACGGCAGCCGCGCAACAACTGCATGCCTCAATTTCTCTGCCCTGGCGCGGAGCCGAGCGGGCGCTTTGTACAGCTTCAACTGGGTAGTTAGTCAAGGGCCTTTTAAAACGGTTCTGCACTTACTTCTAAACGGATTTCTGTCGTGATCAAGGGTATCTTGGATACTGCAACTACCCAGTTGTATTTTCAGCTGCCCTCCAGGGGGCATGTTGCCGCGGCAGGTTGCGGGCTAAGTAGTGTCAGCGCTGACAGACAAATCCTCAGCAGCTGGAGGTTTCCAGGTCGCACTTGCGTCTCATGAGTTGTATAGCGTCCATGCCGGAAGATACATAGGCTGCTCTACAGCCCTAGGCTGATGGGTTTCTACGTGCTTGCAATCCAACTGGGCAGATTGTAGTCTGCAAAAGCTTGTGATGCCCGCGCTTGTTCTCTGTCCAGACTGCTTATCTCTGCGCCTAGGGCAGTGAAGCCTCAAACTCACAAACTCCCCAGAACATACCAAAACCATGACAGCCGCTGAGTGAAGGTGATTGACAAGAGGCACATCTTGAGCGAGCACGGGCACAAGATGGCCGAACAGAAGCATTCTTGTACTGAAGACGCTAGGTAAGATTGCCAGATCAAAGAGGTGTGCTGGAGCTACTGCATTTATCTGGGGAGCGCACTTGCACAAAAGAACTCCCATCACAATCCCAACCTCAGCCAAGCTTGTGTCACCGGCACCCTTACCCTGCATGAGCGCAAATGCCGTGCTTCTCTCATGGCTGGGCAGCAGCACAGAGATCCACCTCCATCGCCTGGAGAGGGCCTGCCAGCAGCAAAGCCAGGTCGCTACAAGGCCTGCAATGTGAGACTCATTCCATCTTATGAGGATTGTTGGTGGGTTTCCGCTGCATGTAGTCACGCACCCCAACCACGCTGCATGAGTCACTGGCAAGCATCTTGATCCCAATACTGTCTGCGAAGTGTTTGCAAAGATCATGGGAGCTTGCAATGGTACACAAGTTGACAGACATTTTGCACAAGTTGTGCGGGACAGCTTGGTACCACTTGCAGAGTCAGAGGGCATAGGTTGTTTCCTAAAGAATTGAGTCCGCGACTACCTATCCCCAGCGGTTCTTATGATCCGCCCAGGTCAGGACAATTTCTCCGGGGCCAAGCAAGTGCCGAATGCAGTGTCTTCTCGGGCCGGTGCTTTGTCATTTGCTGCGTGCAATTGCTCGAGCTCTGAACCTTGATGGGTTCACGAGAGGTGGCTAACTGCCGACAGATTGGTGTAATTCCACGCATCCACGGGTCATGCAACTACAGCTTCTCTCGTGAGACATTACACAGCTCTGGTAGCCTTCAATATAGCCTTGCAAGCTAAAACTGCAAATCTTACAATGTTATCATTCATTATTCCTCAACTGCAGAAATGGCTCACAGATTGCTGCTGGCCATAGTTTTGCGAAGCCTCCATGCCACGAAACAACATCCGTGCAAAGGCTTCGGCGGAGATTAGCAATCTCCTGTGGCAGGCATACGCTCAGACTCACGAGTTGCATGGGAGTGAGAAGGAACGCCTCAATGCTGCTGGAAAGGGACTTTCTGTATGTTGCATGTTTCAGAAACGGGTTCTCATGACTGTGCTATGGCAAGACTGCTTGCGCGGGCTTGTGCCAGCGTCTCCCCCTTAACCACACATTACGAGCCAGGCACAGAAAATACACAGCAAGCACACAGCAAGCAGAGATTCCTGAAGGTAAACGGTCTCGAGCTCCACAGGTTTTCCGCCCGTTGCGGGGGTACTGGCTTTGGAAGGCGAAGGCTCAGCCCGTCTCATTCCAAGCCTCCGGTTTCAGTGTGTGCGCTAGCCAAATGGAGGAATACATGCGGGTTCGGTTCCGACAGCAGTGCAGCAGGGTTAGGATCCGGATTCTGATTTAGGCAGTGATGCCTTGGCTTGTGGACGTTCGTGCACCTCACAAGAAAAGCTCCTGCATAGATTGATGAACATTGGCATCTGTAAGAGGAGGCTGTGTCATAGACCAGTTGGAAGCAACCTCCAAACCGCATCTTGAAGCGAAGCCATCGTATGAATCGTGCAAGTGCCCCTGCAGCATGGAGTTTGGCCTAGCCATGAGGCCCCGATGGATGTCAAACAGCTCGTATCCATCCTGTTCGTCAAGGACTGTACAAGGTATTGACATTTGCATTTGAATATTCTGCATGACAACCAGTAAAGCAATGCCCAGCAAATCGCAGCAGTTTATGTACATCAACATACCATGTACGCAAAGCGCAAGTGTCTGAAACCCAATGCCAAGTTATCTCACCTAGAGATACGAGTGAGTAGCACTCTTCCTGTCGTCAAAGTAGCCGCAACCAAGCAGTGCCTTTCCCTCTGTGCGGCCCGCAAATTCTCGCCAAGTGCGGCCTCGAGCTTGTCCCATGGGCTTTCATCATGAGTAAGGGGTAGGCGCAGCTGTTCTCTGTTCTTACTTGGAGCGGTTTTGATTCCGGATCTAGTTGTTCCAATGGGGCGAGAGGGGGCATTTGGCAGCCACGTGGAGCAAGGAGGCGGCGTTAAACATCTCAGCAGCTAGCCACGCCGCGTTGCGTCGACTTCCGGCTCGAGCAGCAACTTTGGCCTAGCCGGCCCATTGCTGAGGCAAAGGCGCACCATGCTTGAGACATGCGATTCGCAGCGGCACCCAGCTTTCCACGAACGCCTGAGCTTTGGGCAGGCGTCGAGCTATGTCGACCTAGAGCCAATCAAAGCTTGACATTCCTATTGAAACCCTGAGGCTTGGCATTGCTAGATGCTTGTACTCTGGCAGGGTGAGGGGCCTGCAGCGCAGAACGTGGCGCTTGCCAATCGAGGTTTGCCTAGCTTTGCAAGCCGGGCAAGGATGGCTATTCATTGAAATCGGCGGGGCTCTCCCTTCAGATTAAGAGCGTTGATGATGCCAGTATCAGCATCGACAGAAAGGGAGCTCAGACCACTCCAGCATCAACATGCAAGTCAAACAGAACAGATCCGTTCTGTGTCTTACTTTGGACAGATCAGTCTTTAACTGCAGGCTTGTCAAGTAGCGCGTAAAAACATCACCATGCTTCTGATTCAAAGGCTTGAGACACCAAGAGGGGACTTTGAGTAGCCCGCCCGCTGCAAAGCCAGCCAAATCGCCTACATGCTGCAAGCAGCAACCATAATGAGCATTGCAAGTGGATGGCTGACTAATTTGCATGCTCCACTCCTCAATGTTGCAAGGCACACGTCCTTTTTCTAGGTGCAGGGGGAAGGGCCGATCCATGCTGCAAAGTGCTGAAGTCATTCGGGCATAACTCATTATCTGTGAAGACACAAACGTGAGGGCGGCACCGGCGACTGCAGCCTTATCGGAGTCCTGGATGCGGCATGCGTCAGGGTCTCTACTTTGCCCAACTGAACGCGTAGTTTGAAAGCCAAGTTGAACAGCTACAACCTATCTCTGTCGCGAGGGGCTGAGGAAATCTGTCCTGTGAAGGCGCTTTGGGAGGTCGATGGAGAGACTCTCACCTTGCGAGATGTCACCCGCAAGGTATACAAGGTGATCCTCCTGCTCCTGCATTGCCACAGACACATTGCAGGTAAGTTTCAATACTGAGAAGTCAGCCATCAGGTGCGAAGAGTAGGACCATCATGTCCTGCACACATCCACAAATGCATCATTGCCTGTGAGTCGCGTTGAGACAGGGGGGTGGTCCTGCTGGCTGGCATCCGGCAGCTGGAACACCTTCAACTGAAGGAATTCTGTGTTGTCAGACTTAGAGAGGAAGCTTGTCTCTTCCTATAACTTATTCTAAGATCCATGCCAAAGCTTGGCACTCAGAGGCATTGCTGCAGGATGCCAGCCACTCCTGCACAAAGGATTTCGAAGTGCACAGAAACCTCCTGCAAGATCACGTCTTGCGCTCTGGACTTCCAAAGTCGGGGATTTTTATCGAAACATTGCTCAGGCTATTTAGGGTCACCTGCTTCTGTGCAGAATGCCAATAGATCGTCTGGGTGCCTGGAAGATCGCTTGCAGCTTTGCCTGCATCAGTTCAGGCACTTCAACTACAACATTACAACAAACA